CTGATGTGTCCTTTTTGCAGACCCTTCTGGTGAGTGTAATCCAGATCTTCGTCTTCGTGGGCATCAAAAAGAAGGCTATGGCCTATCGTGGAACCCAAATCTTAGTGGCCATTTGCTTAGTGCATCTGATGATCATGTGAGTGATATATGCGTATGAGCTATGGATGTCTACCCCATAAATTATATTTTTGATCTGAATGTTTGTTTTTTTGCCCTCTCTAAGACTATCTGCTTGTGGGACATAAGTGCTGTTCCCAAGGAAGGGAAAGTAGTGGATGCCAAGACCATCTTTACGGGTCATACAGCTGTGGTGGAAGATGTTTCCTGGCATTTGCTCCATGAATCTCTCTTTGGATCTGTTGCTGATGATCAGAAACTCATGATGTAAGCAAAGTATCTATTCCACTCAAACTGAATTACGTTGATCTTTATTTTAAAAAAGAGAGTGGGTAGAATAGGTGTTAATAACCATTATTGTGACGAGTGTGTCTGTCAGTCTATCAGAAGAGTTCTTCTTATCCTGAACTCTCTTTATTTGTAGCTGGGACACCCGATCGAACAATACTTCCAAGCCAAGCCACTCCGTAGATGCTCACACTGCTGAAGTGAACTGCTTGTCTTTCAATCCTTACAGTGAATTCATTTTAGCCACAGGATCAGCTGATAAGGTATTAATCCAGAGTTCACAGAGTATTGCTAAATTCAAGGGGATGTTCATGGAGCTGTTTGTGTGTGGGAAACAGTTGTGAAGGGTGTCTTTGGATTCTTAGGTTGTATGATGAAACAATTAACTCTCTCTGGTTTTCTTGGTCAGACTGTTGCATTGTGGGATCTGAGAAATTTGAAACTGAAGCTGCACTCTTTTGAGTCACACAAAGATGAGATATTTCAGGTAAACTAGTATAATATCATGGGATTTCTTTTTCTGATATATGTTTGATAAGAAGGCAGTTCCAAGAGGGTGTTAGAACTGGATGTACTGTTAAAGGTACAGGCTGAGTGGGTTGTTTTTATTGTTGCTTCTGTGTGTGATAACACAGCTGTGTATGGTAATTTAGCTGCTAGCAGAGTAGCTAAATGATTTGGAGGTGGGTTTTCTATCTAAAACATGATTATGGTCCTTCAGTGGTAAAAGAAGAGAGTAGAAGAGTAGGAAAAAAACTACTAGAGTGATAATGTTTAAATGGTATATTCAGTGTATAAAACACTGAAAGTCATGGAGAGAGGATTAAGGTATGAGGAAGGGTAAAGGTACCAATTCCTGTATGGTTCAATGTATAAATTATCTGCATGTGTTATGGTTGTTCTATTGGAAAAGCATAGGGATGGTCATGAATCGGGAAAATGGAGGTTCATCGAGGGTTGTGAGGTTTCATTAACTTGGATGAACCTCCCCCCGGTTTGCGTATTGGTTCGGTTCGTAGAGCTTCCCTCCCTCCTTTCTGCTGGCTGCCGCTCCCCAAGGCCAGCAGAATGGAATGGGGGGGGGGGAGATCTTCCGAGTGAACTCGCTGCTTAGAGTTCACTCAGCAAAAGTCATTTAAAGGGCCCATTCCCTTTAAATTGCTTGCATCCATTAGGCTGAAATAGCTGCAAGCCATTTCAGCAATCTCCCACCCCCCCTCCCCCCCCCCCCCCCCCGCTTGGAAGTGGGGTGGGAGTGAAAGGGATCGCTGAAATGGCTTGCAGCTCAGAAGGTATTTAAATGCCTTCTCAGTTTACTTGTGAGTTATGCTGCCACCACAGTAGTGGTGGCGCAGCTTGCGAAAAACCATTTAAAGGGATCCCTTTAAATAGTTTTTGCAAGCTGTGCAGCCATGGCAGCGTGGCTTGGAGAAGGCATTTAAAGAGACCATGTTCTCTTTAAATGCCTTCTCCAAGCCCCGGCACCAGCATTTCTGCCAACACGAGCCACACAAACCCACCTGGAAGGTTTGTGGGAGGTTCATGTGGCTCATGATGGTGTGATGGCACGAACTGAGGTTCATGAACCATAAACTGGGCCCAGTTCGTCACAAATTTCAGTTTGTGTCCATCCCTAGTAAGACATACCTTGAAGGATCCATGGAATTCACAGAATAGCTGTGGGATTATAAAACACCTTGAACAGAAAGTTTCTTCCAGAGGAAGAAAGACCTGTTTTAATGAAAATTTAAATGATGTAAAAATATGTGCTAGCTTTTTGAAGTGTGTGTGTAGGAAAGAGTAAAGGGAATCTTTTTTTGCAGCTAAAGGACCATTGGATTGATATTTCTGTTCACTAGTTAACAACTGATCATGACGCTCTGGTCGTCAACCATTGCAGAGTATTGAATAGAGCAGCTTTCAAGAGGAGAAAGCCAGAATCAAGGGGGAAAGATGAAAACAGCTTCTATGTACAATTCTTGCTTGTTACATCAATTGCATAAAAGCAAGATAAGGAGGTGGCTTAACTCTTTATGTCATTCTGATCCATACAGGTTCAGTGGTCCCCACATAATGAAACTATTTTGGCCTCTAGTGGAACTGATCGCAGGCTAAATGTATGGGATTTAAGGTGAGTCTCAGTGTACTGCTCTGTAGATGTTGTGTTTTGCCAGAAATATTTTCCTTGCGTCTCCAATTTATTGTCTTACGTTTCAGCAAAATTGGGGAAGAACAGTCTCCTGAAGATGCAGAAGATGGTCCACCGGAGCTTTTGGTTTGTTTATTTTTCATTTGAAATTTGTTTCTCTCCTTTTCCTGTCTGCTCAAGGCAGCTAGTAAACAAGTACATAATTTATTTGTGTTGCTACTGGTCTTATCACCACTCCCCTTGCTTTGGGTTGCAAAACTAAGTGATACTGGTTCCTTTAAAACTGGGTGTGGTATATGAATGAAATACTGGGAGCTGTGACACCAGGACTGCTCAAACCTGAGAAGGGATAGAGCATTGGGTTTTCTTGGCCTTGCAAAGTGCGTGTGTATTTTCCTTTGTTTCCTTAAATGACTTTTTCCATTTTTTCCAAGAACCACTAGCAGATGTGGTGAACTCCCCCTGCCCGCTTTCGCTTTTTCATTTCACTACCACCAACTCAATCTGTTCTCTGCCTGTCCAAGAAACAGGAAGACTCTTCCTGAGTATAGAGTACAAGGAGGCTTCCCTGGCCTTCTCTCAGTTCTGTTGATTTATCTCTAGGTGTTGTGAATTAGTCAACTTTTGCAGTTTGCGGGGGGTGTGTGTGAGAGACATGGGTAGATAGTAAGGAGTTTTAATCTTGCCGAGATTTACTGATCTTGGACCCAGCGTTTCAAACAAAGAGGATTAATATAGCATTATATTCCAGAATCCATTTTTGGATTTTATTCTTAAGAAGCTGCTTGTTGAACCTCATCTGAAGATTGTTGTCTCTCATGTTAGCTAGTCACTTTGGTCATCCTGATAATGGGTGATAAGGTTTTCAAAGTTTTTTGTGATCCTGCTCTGGATGAATTCTCTTTTTTGAGCACTGTATACTTCAGTGACAAAGTCTGTCTGTCTGTCTCTCTCTCTCATTTACAATGTTAGTTTATTCATGGTGGTCACACTGCAAAGATATCCGATTTCTCCTGGAATCCCAATGAACCATGGGTAATTTGTTCTGTATCAGAAGACAATATCATGCAAGTCTGGCAAATGGTAAGTACTTGGTTGGTTGACTATTTGAGTGGGAAGTGGTTGCTAAGCACTGTGACTGTCCACTGTTTAAGTTCTTGCTGGCTTTTCCAGTACTTTGCAGCCTGTTGTCATCCAGTTGTTGTGCTCCTGCCACAGTTCTAAGCTGTGAGAAGTTGCACTATGTATGTGTGTTTTCAAAGATATGTAGATTAGGTCAACGTTTTTCCATGTTGGAATAACGTGCAGTTAACACTGCATCTTGTAGGAAGACAGGTTCTTTGCAGTAATAAGTACCAGAGTAGAACAATAATTCAATCTTTATCTGAACAATGTGTAAAATTATTACTGGTTTGCAGACGTTTTGTGTTCATTAAAATGCTATTTGCAACTGCATTTTGTAGAAATTTCCCTCAGAATGGGAAACTGCGTATTGACCAAATAAACTTACCTTCCTCTTCATAGGCGGAGAACATATATAATGATGAAGACCCTGAAGGAAGCGTGGATCCGGAAGGTCAAGGATCCTAGAAGTTTGATCTCTTTTCTTTTTTGCTGTTCTTTTCTCCCTTCCTGTTATTCTCCCCCTGTCGTCTCCCACTTTTCCTGAATTGTCAGCACTGGTGCTTGAGAGAGACAGGCACCGTATTCACACAACTCATCTGTAGATAACAGTCCATCAGCCTTACTTTTAACCCAGAAAGTGAACAATTTCTGTTGAAAGTTGAGGGTTTGGTGTGACATGAGTTATTATCACACAGTGGCTTTTTGACCATTTTCCTCCCCAAATGTTGGTCGAGCCAGTATGTGCACTCTATTGGGAGGTGATTTTAGGGAGGTGAGCTACTATCAGTGACTGAGGTGTGATTCTGTTGTTCCAGTTAATACCTGAGTTTTTCCCCATCACATCTCGGTCCTTCAATCCTTTTTTTTTCTTGGATGGGGCATCTCAGGATGTGGGTATGAATATGGTAGATCATATCTGCTCATCACTTTGCACTCTTGGGTGTTTCTTAAACTGTTCTAATGTTATAGTTTCCCTCTGCTTTCTGTGAAATGTTTTGGTGTTTATCTTGGGGGACCACCAGATTGTCTAAGAAATTCATTTCATGTTAGTAGTATACCACAGATGGCATGTCCAGTATTCTGGAAGTACACAGTGGTAGCTGGTATATGTAAAAAAAAAATTAACATGTGAATGACATGCTCCTCCCCTTGTGTCAACACCTGTTCTGTGAGGGTGAACTGTTCCACCCATTTAACTCTTCATGACCCCTGCAACTGCTTTAAACAAAATAAATTTTGGTTTTCTATGTAATATGTTATGTTTCTTTAACTTGAAGTCTTCTGTTTTCTGGAACCAAACTGAAATTCAAATGGTGTGGATTCTAATACATTACAATTCTGCTGGTACAAGGAACAGTCTGGAACATTTTGAAATGATGCAGAGAATACTTTGCGACTGGGATGAAAGATGGAGAAAACTCAAGATTAAAAGTGTTCTGTTTTGGTAGGAATTTGAGGAACATACTGGTGCTGATGTGTTGACAGGCGTCAACATTACCTATCCTAAGGACTCTATGTGCCAGAACAACAACTACTAAAATGTAGGAATTCTGTTCATTGCCAGCAACTGGCAGCAGAAAGTCTGTTTAATAGATACTATTTGGAGGTTTGCTGCCTGTGCAGATAAGGGGACTGCTCTGCTTCCCCAGCTCAGGGTTGATTCCCACAGCTCCTTGTTGGGACTTATTTTAAACTTGGATTGTCTCCTTTGCCAATGTGGTTTGAAACAAGTCCCCAGAGAATGGTGTGTTATCAGCTCTCTGTTACTTCACAGAATCTTGAAGGCCAGCTAGCAGAGCCAGGCTTCTTGGCATTTCTCACATCCCTATCCCCTTTCTTTATTGTGGAAAAGAGGGAAGCTTCTGGCTGGGTTTGGCCTGCCCAGTCAGGATCTTTAAACAGTATGTCCTGTCCCTGTGAATATATGGCTTAGCTGCACGTTCAGTGTTGATAGTAGTAGAAGTTTCAAGGAATGGTGAAGGCATGTGAAGCCACTGTTTCCGCAGTGTTTAAAGTACCAGGAACCTGTTGAATCTTGCAGGTTCTCTGTCTCATGCCTGTAGAGTTGCACAAAAGAAAGAACTTAGTGTTTCTGGATGAAGACAGGTGCTCCTGCAGCTTTTACTGAGGCAGAGTGTAGAGTAGGCGGAGACATACCTGATTCAGACTCAGTTCAGGTAGTAGACTGCTGCTGATGGTGTCTTCAAGGCTTGGGGCCAATACAGCCCTGGTAAATAGATTTTAGTCACTCTAAAAGTGTTCTTGTATTTAAAAAATTTAATGTTTTACTTCTATCTCCTTTTCTATAACATGTCAAAGTTACAAGCAGATTCCTCATTTTCAAATAATTTTTTATACCAAAGGCCAGTATTGGTACACTTGCCAAAACATTGGCTTTGTACCATCTTCGGCTTCAAAATGTACATAATGCTTATCAATTGACAGTCCGACCAGTGCAAAGTTCCAAACTTCAGAAGTTCATTCAAAGCTCTTTTCAACTCTGAATTGAAAAAATAACATAATTGAAAAAATAACATAATTGAATTTTCAGATGCAAACCATCATCTAGCAGTCTTGTCTTGTTAGTCGCTGCTAGATTTCAGGCCTGCTCTTGTCATTCTTAACAGTGAGACTGCATTTTTAAGTATATATATCGCTATAAAAAGTCCATGGTTACAATTTTCAGTCTTTGTCTTGATTTGCTTCTGACTTGCAGAGTTGTCCATATATTTCTAAGCAGTCTCTGTAAGGATTGAAACTGGGTCAGTAGTTGCTCCAGGAAATAACAACTCATGAGCAAAACCTAGATTTTAAAAACTATTCGGAGAAGAGTTACTTGAAGACGACTTAGATGACTTCTCTACACATAGGAGCTAAAAGCATGAGACGGCTGTACTGCAAATATAGTATTGGGTCCTATGGATCTGGTCCACTAATGGCGGCACTGCATCAGTGGAAAGCACCTTACACCAGAGGAGAACACCGCGTTTAATGGAAGTAATCTTTACGAGCCAACCCACGGTGCTGTGTGGTGGTGAAAAAACAAAGGTAGCTACTTCACTAAAAAGGCTGGTATTGTCTAACCACCTAAAGTGGACTGTTCTAGACAAAATGTACAAATGTAGAGCAGAGGAACATGCAACTTTTAATAGTCATGAAAAATACATATGTGTGAGGATTAGAATGATTACTTACCATGCCTGGAAGAGAAATTTATGTGGAAATGTGCACTACTGAATTGTTTTCTTGCTGGGGTTGCTGGAGAAGTCATCAAAAATACTCTCCTTGGTGGTGCAAAAGCAGTGTTGTTAGACTGTACCCAAAGTACTCCGACAAACGTTTCTGGCATTGGCAGCTCTGTGTTGTGTTAATTGCTAGCTAGCTGCCTTGAGTTATAAAACCAAAAGATGGGAAATGTTTTAATAACACCTACTTGTAGATAGATAGCTCCTGGTGCAAGCTGGTCTTCACCTCCTCCAATTCCTTGTACTTGTGCTGCTGGAGTTTTACTCCATTCCTCAGCTCTCTCAGCCTTTCTTCCATCTCCTCTACCTGTTCCTGCAGACATGGAGAAAAATTGGCAATGAGATCTTTAAACTGGCCTCTGCTTCCTGTTCTTTGATCACGGCCAAAGACTGTTATTTTAACAGCTATTTGGGATGTTGCATTTTCCCAACAAGATGGAAGTTTCATATTGGGAGGAAGACAAACCAGAAAAAGGAGTGGATCCTAAGCTTCTTGACTAAAATTGATACATGGCCCAAAAGAGCTGGGCTAAGAAATAATTCCATGCCTGTGGCAAATTTATTTTTTGTAATACTTTATTTGGATTCTGCTGGATGTGAAAATGTGAAAGCCACATAGGTTTTGAGGTTTTAGTACCCTGACCAAAGGAACTCATTAACAGCCCTCTAGGCTTTGAAGATTTTGGCCACCATTTTAAAGCCATCTGTCACAGCCTTGGCCCCCTAATCCTGGGGGGGAAGGGGTGGAATGAGAACAGCCCTAAGCCTGGTAGCAGCACAGAAACACTGGAGAAGCAGAAAGGAAGAAGAACCTCAGTGGTGGAGGAGGTCTCCTTAGGAAAAAAAGACCTACTTAGGAGTAGACAGAGAGGCAGCAGCTGGAAGTGTCCAGAACAGGGAGAAACAGCCCAAGCTAAAGGAGCTGAAAGAAGAAGCAGACAGCTGGGAGGGAGAGTAGCCCGCCAGGCTTGGGGGCTTTATAGTCTGGAGAGATCTCACACCTGTTATGGGCCTGGAAGGGGATATTCCTGACCATGGGTGCAACAAGTAACATCTGCCTCAGAACAGGGCAGTCTAGCTTCCTCATGACTTAATGCTGCAGGAAGGGTGCAGCAGCCTGAGGCAGGAGCTACATGACTTGGTGAAGGACCCATGGTGAGAAAGGAGACCTAGACCCTGAGTGGAAGCAAGTGGAAATGATGAGTGAACTGGCTGGGCTACAGATAGCCATGTGGTCGACATCTAACGGCGTAACCACGGGAACTCCATGAGTCGTGTGATCGGGCTGCTGCGCTTTACTTTGCTCCGGGGCAAACAGCCACGCCTCACCCCCGCATTATCTGGCCGGTGTGACCGGGGCCAAAGAACCTCAAATGGCTTGAAAACCTGCATTTTTAAAACTTCTGCTTCTCTAGTTGCATCCAGACATGATAAACTGTGGTTGGTACAAAAACCAAATGTAAGCAACAAATCCTGGTTAGACATAAACCTTTGTTTATCTGCTTCTTGCCTCCTCTCTGCTCAGTGGAATGGGTGTCTTCACCCCGTGGATCAAAATACTCAGGGGGAAACAACTACAAGGGGTGATGTTACAGTGTTAAAAGGGGATTAGATAGATTCATGGAAGATGTCTAACAATGGCTGCTAGCCATGGTGAGTGAGAGGAACCTCTCCATTCAGAGGCACTAAACCTCTGAATGCCAGGGCCAGGAGAGAACATCATGGGAACTCTTGCAGGACCGGGCCTGCCTGGTCTTGAAAACATGGTGCATCAGTCGAAGACTGGCTCAGATTAAGCCCTGCTGAGATGCACGTTACATATGACTCTCAGGGTTGCTGGGGGGATGGAGGGGGAATTTTGTTTGGATGAATGCCTAATTGGCCACTCCTTTGCAGAAGACCTTTGCCTGCCAGCCTGAACACAAAAATAAGCATCTATTTATGTAGGTTCCAGGGAGCTGTCTAATCACAGGGGCTTAAAGTAAAGCTCACGGAAGAGGAAAACAGAACAGCTGGAGGAAAACAGTCAATTTTTTTTCCTACTGTGCGAGAAGAGAAGGAGATGGAAAGTGCAAGAGCCTCCTTAGGGCTCTAAACTGAAGAAGAAATTAAATGGATAAGCCAGTTGGGTGTCTTCTCACAGCTCCTGTAGCATCTGGTTCTCTTCTGCACACTTGTGGAAACCTGCCAAATATCCAGCAACATGAGAAAGGAGAGGGTTTCCTAGAACCCAGCTCTTGAAACCACCTGGCATGGCAAGGAGAGGAAAGAGATGAGCTGGAAAGAGAACAAACACCCTGAAGTGGGTTTGGTGCCTCCTGGCTCCTGCTACTTGCTGCTCTTGTAAGAACTAGTTGTGAAGCAAGCCATTTGAAATTTTTGCGTTTTCTACTATAAATAACCTCTGTCAAGGGAGGTGACTTTGCCTGGTGGATGCCACGGATGGTGGCAGCAGCTGCAAGGGCTGAGAGGCCGGTGATTTGTATGTGAGTTGAGATTGTTACACCAGGTGTGGTAAGCAGCGGATGCAAGCTAGGCTTACAAGGATGCTGGGCCATTCACAAGCAGTTCTCATTTTATAGCCACAGCACTTGCTTTTCAAAAGGGTGCCCTAACATACAAACTGTTGTTGGGTCAGAGACATCGGATTCAAAATCTGGTGCCTTTAGAAACACGGAAGTAGGGGCACTCCCTTGTTTCTCCCCAGAGTTGAGAGACAGGCTGCCTCTGAACATGGTGCCAGAGGAGACAGGCAAGCCACAGTCTTAGCTCATGTTTCGTATACTTTGTGAAACTTATTCTGTGGGGCTTTGGATCAAGGTTTGGTTTAGATGGCCTCTTCCTAACTGGGCACTTCATGTTTTATGCGGTGTTTTTTATATGGGATTTTTTTTTTACCGTAAGATTTTCTGATAGGTTGGATATTTCTATATTGTCATGTTGAATAGCTGGCTGTAGTTGCCTTTGAACATTTGATTTAAACTGTAGAAAAGCAACGAAATAAATTTTAATAGGAACCTGTCTAATCCATCTAAATTTATGATCATCACCAGTAGTGGGTTCCATGCTAATTATGTTTCTAGTATGTTTCTCGTCCTTTCTTCAGGGAGCTGAGGACAGTATGCAGGGTGCTTCCACTCCACTGAATTCTCACAAGCAACCCTGTTTGGTAAGTTAGGAAGAGAAAGTCTGATCTGCACATGTTCAGTGAGATTCACAGCTCAGCGGGATTTGATCCTGGTTCTCCCAGAGTTTAATCTGATCCCCCAACCACTCCACCACACTGAGTCTTGGGTAAAATGTGTTTTAGATATCTGTTAGCAGAATTGAGCTCTCTGCTTTGCAGAATACTAGTATAGATTTGTTGTGACTATGTATGCAAGTGTGTGTGCAGGCCTACACATGCACACAGTGATGAGCCAGCAGCAGTGGCAAA